AAAAAGAAACACCTTGTCGAAAAGTTTAAACCGCTGTACCAGCCTGTACGTTTTGCCAACAGCAGCCTGCTATCCCCTTGGAGGATCATATTGTTCGAAAGCATTTGTGCAACCTCTCTCTCTCTCTCTCTCTCTCTCTCTCTCTCTCTCTCTCTCTCTCTCTCTCTCTCTCTCTCTCTCTCTCTCTCTCTCTCAATTCGTCAACTTCTTGTCTCTCTGTCTGTCTCCTGGCAGGAAGCCATTGTGGAGGTTCCGGAAGAATACGTCGGCACGGTAGTGGACTTGCTGGGGAAGCGACGAGGGCAAATGATGGACATGAGCAGCTCAGGGTATGGAGCAAACCATTATAGACCCTCGACCTGTGTTCGTTTCTCCATGTTTTCTATTCATCTCCGTATGTTTCATGGAACTTGAAACCTTCTCTCCTTTCTCATTCCCCTACGGAGTACTCATTGCCGCTTGTTTTTGTGCGCAGACTCGCCAGTTGATATAAGGAAGGCGGTGCGGAAAGGCTCGGCCTACCGGACGAAAATGGCTGGGGGCGCCTGGTAGGCCTTGTCCACACTTATGGTTCGGCAAACGAGGGGCGGAAGGAATTCCATATGGGGGGAAAATGGGGCTAGGATCGTCATTATTCTTCCCCGAGCTCTCCTCTTTTCTTCTTCTGTCACTGCTCTTCTAAAAGGGCCTTTACCCGATATAGGCCTCAGGCCTTGTGAAAATCAAGCAGCACAGGCCTTGAAAAGTAAAGCATTGTGAAAAGGTATCTCGCCAGGGCTCAGAAACGTGAAAGCAGGTCAAAGGTCAAGTTCTCTATCAACAGGCACATCTAAATCTAAGGCAAAGGGCATTGTCAAAGGACTTACCTGTTCACCAGGAGCTGTGTATGTCATGTCTGTTCGGGTAAGAGTGTGTCTGTACGTGCAGACAGTGTACCTGTTCGTGCAAAGGAATGTGTCTGTTCGTTTAGAGTTGTGCCTGTCCGAAAGTTGAGTCAATAGGCACAGTCCCAGTTCTGGTCTAAGTCAAGGGGTCAGTCCAGATCCAGACTTTGAAATCCAAATCTAGGCCGAGAGGCCTCAGCAGCAGTCGAACCTCATTGGGACTACACTGGGACACATGCAATGCAGGGTCTGGGACAAAGGACAGGCTGAATTGAGCCAATGCAGACCCAGCGAGGAGTGGCCAGCACTATAAAGAAAGCTGCCAGCCTTATTCCTAGCGAGATCTCCACTGGCTGCAATGCGTGGAAGTGCTGGTGCACTTGTGCGCTGAGTCAGGAGGAGCAGCGCTGGAGGAGAAGATGCGCTGGAGGGAGGAAGAAGCCTGTACGCTGGAAGTGATGCAGCCATAGCTGCCCAGCGAGTTAGCATTAGTAGTAGAGGGTTAGTATGTAGCTATGAGTAGTATTCAGAGTAGATCCTCATGAGTGAAGGGTGTGTATGCATCGTAGGAGGAAGGGACTGAGGCTGCGAGTGTTCATTCAAGGTTCGGCTATGGAAGATACTTACCTGAGTTGGGTGTGATCTGTAGGGGTGGCGCTGATGAGTAGTGACCACGTTGATGACTTGGAGACTATCTGCAGATGTAGCGCTGATACATTGGAAGCCATATTGATGAGTTGACATGAGATTGGTGTTGCGCTGATGAGCGCTGGACTCAGGGGAACTTTGAAACACTTTGTATTCATAATTCTGATAATAAGCTGTGAAACTCGGTCCTCTTCTTCTCTACCTTTGTCTATGGATGAGACTATTGATCACTACTTGTGAAGATGATGCATGACATGTACACATCTGCGTGAGATGGTCCCCAGGACCCATGCACTTCATTCAACTTATGAAAAATCTTTTTTTTTTTTTTTTTTTTTTTTTTTTTTTTTAACTCGACATTGGTCAGCGCTGAGTTTGGAAGAAAGATACATCATTAGTCAAGTCATTGAAATGATTGTGGATGCTATCTAATAGTATCAGATTCTATGAATTGCCCTCTTCTACTGGGCCCCTCATAAAGCAGTGCGCAGAGTACAAAATTGGGAAAACACAAAATAGTTAGTGAAGGGCGAAGCTCAGTGTATAAGCGGCGCCTTGTTATCACGGAATCAAGATCAATTTTTTTTGGACTGAATAGCATTTTTCGTCAAACGAGGTGCCAAAATGTTTATATGAAATTAGTGTATTCTTCCTGAATTAGTAGGCAATCATCTCCATTACGGACGGACAATATCTTTTTGGAAACAGAACTGTTTTATCGTGGAAGCCGACCTGCTATTAATGTAGGATTGTCTGTAAGTTGTGTACGTTCTGCAGCAGCTCAATTGAAAGATATGAAACGAGTGTGCAGTGGCGTTACAGTAGAACTTGCACAATATCACGAAGTAGCTGCGTTTGCTCAAATTGGCTCAGATCTTGAGGTGGTGCCACTCAATATTTCTTACACCGTGGCGCAAGACTAACACAGGTGTGGGAACAACCACAGTATAGTTGAATCATAACTTCAATGTCGATTGAAAAGCAAGTTGTTGTTATTTATGCGGCCGTCAAAGGTTATTTAGTCCTTCTCCTCGTCCTTCTCCTCCTGCTCCTCGCCCCCCTCTTCTTCACCCTCCTCCTCCTCATGCTACTCTTCCTCCTCTTCCCGCCTCCTCCGTGTCCTCCTCTTCCCCCTCCTCTTCTCACTCCCCCTTCCTTCCGCTTTCCCCCTCCCGTTCCCCCCTCTCCCTCTTCTCGCCTCTCCCCATCGGATTCTCTTAGTATGCTCAACACAACACTGCGCAACCCGGCTTCTGAGGCTCGAGGAATGGTGTCGTGCTTGTCGATGTGTATAGACTGGAAGGGACCACCATCGTGAAGTACCTTATGCCAACGCGAGGACTGCTTGGACTCCGGAATACGATGCTCACTGCAACCCGAGGAACTGCTGTGCTCAACACCATCTTTCATGGCTATGGTGAATGGGCCGGTGATATTAGCATGCGAGAACAGGGCTCCTTGGTGAGTGATGAATTTATTCCACAACCACTCCTCCTCTCCATCAATCTCTTATCGAATGTCCCCCGAAGGCAGTTTTGCATGTGTCGCAGTTCAGGATGACACTGTGATGGTGTCATCTGTGATAATGCTCAAGCGCCATAAGTCCATGACCTCCCCACTGTTCCCTTTCCTCCACCTCCTCCCCCTCTTCCTCCTCCTGCTGCGTCTGATGCTGCTCGTGCTCCTACATGTACCCTCTTACTTGTCCCTTGGCTCCTGATGCTGCTGCTTTCCTCGTACTGCTCCTCCTTGCCCTCCTCCTTGCCCCCCTCCTCTTCCCCTTCTCCTTGTCGTCCTCCTTGCAGTTGTTGCCCTCGTCTTGTCGTCCTCCTTCTGCCCCGCCCCTCTCCTCGTCCTCCTGCTGCTGCAGACACTGTGGCACATTCATGTACCCTCCTTCTCCTCCTGCTGCTGCTGTTCCATGTACCCTCCCCCTCCTCCTCCAGCTTCATGCATTCCTCCCACTCTCCCCATGATACCCGTCTGCTGCTCCTCCGCTTGCTTTCCACCATGTACCAGCGTCCTCCTCATCTTGTGTGAAACCTTCCTTGAAAATCATGCTCATCACATGCCAATTATGTCGCTTGTGATCGATAAATTCCGTCCACATTATTAACTACTTGTTTAGCAAAGTGCGGATTTTATGTAAATGACTTAACTAATAAGGGGAACTTTTTGAAATGCCCCTCCAACTTCCATTTATTTGCGGTGTGCCCTCCAACGGCCGCGACTTACTCTGTCGTGCCCCTCTCAGGCCTCTGAAGTTTCCTGCAGGCCCCGGTCAGTGAGGGGTGCAACTTTCCAGCGTGCCCCTGTGGCCGTTGGCGGCCGTTCCCCTCGCCCTGGGAGGGGAGCTACCGGGGCATACTGGAAATTTGGAACCGGTACACTGGTAGGGGCATATTGAACATATTTCACATCCAAACGATGCCCGGGGTTTTTCGGAAACTTCAATCGGTGTCAGGGGGGCATGCCAGGGTAAGTCGTCCGTCCGTCAGAGGGGCATGCCGCAAATAACTGGAAGTCGGAGGGGCATCGAAAAATTTCCCAAATTGTTATTAACAAATATGCACATGGCCTTTCTGTATGGTTTGTTTATCCTCTTTAGGTAGCTTTTGAGAATGGTCAGACGACGGCTTATGCATTGTTCAGCTGCCAGGAGAGAGGGCAGATGTTTATTACCCCTGGTGTAGAAGTTTACAAAGGGCAAATCATCGGCGTTCATCAACGGCCAGGGGATCTTGCTCTCAACGCCTGCAAGAAGAAGGCGGCTACGAACATCAGATCAAACAAGGAGCAAACAGGTACGAACATCTGACGGATGGAACATAATGATTTTTTTTTTTTTTTTTTTTTTTTTTTTTGATTCTTTCCTCATTGGAATGCGTTCGGACGTTGTCTTGCTCATCGGTCTACGTGCCTGAGGGCCCGGCATACTCACACAGGGACCCGATGACCTTAAAAAAATACCAAAATTTGAAAATTTGTGCATGAACCAATGCAAACAGGATTAAGGCAGTTTTTGGGTCGCATTGGAGAGGCCCACTACCCAGATGTACTTTTTGGTGACCCTTTTGTCAACAGCCTGACGGGCCGCTGGAGGACCCTTATTGAGACCACCTCCAGAAGCGGTCTCAAATTACCTTTTCACCGTTTTCGTTTTTTTCTCTCTCTGTGAGATATTTCTAGAGATTTGGGCATGACAAAAATGGCCGTGCGTGTTTGTTCAGCATTGGGAAAAAAAATAAAAATAAAAAAATCTATATAGTTTTTGGGGTACTAAACAGTGTGACCACGTGCACTTCCTGGGAGGTGCAAATGTCAGGGCTGCGACTGTGTCCTTTGTGGACAGAGAAAGTGTGTGTGACCACACGGGCACCCAAAGGAGCAATTTTTTTTTTTTTCCAAATATTACATGGAACCAAACGTCGCAGATATTTGGGACTTTAGCTCCCCATGTGAGTATGCCCTGAGTAGCATGTGTAACTTGGTGGTGGGAAAAAAACATGAATGGTGGTCCCCACAGACTCCCCAGAAGAGAAAGGACCCGGGACGGCAATAAGGCCCTGGTTGGTCACCCCTTGCCGTCCTTAACAAAATGACTTGAACCACAAGTACTTGGCCCAGCTATCGGCCGCGGAAAAAAAATAAGAGTAGAAACGTTTCTAGTCGGATGAATTTGGGCACTCGTGTAGTGGCCCGTACGTTTCCTAAACCGTGGCTTGTTAACGGGCACGACTTTAGGAAGTACTGGTGGTTTAATTCTTTCTCTTGTCCTTTTCTTGTTTGAAGTTTTTTCCCTTTTGGAATGATGTTTTTTCCTCAGCTGGTGTTTGGCACTGTTTGCCCAACCTTTTTTTTTTCTCCCCCCTTTCTGTCTTCCTTTTTCTGTCGAAAAAAAAGGGAAGAGGGCAGGGGCTGGAGGGGAAGACGGGGGGACCGGTGTTGTGGATTAGTATTTAAATTTTAAACCACCACCCGGGCCTGGGTTAGCATTTAAATTTTAAACCGCCAGTACCTCCAGGTTCTTAGGCCGTTAATGCGGTGGCTGAATCGGTACGCCGTGCAGATTCATATGCATTTGCGTCAGATTCTCCCCAGAGGGGGCCTCAGACCCCCTGCGGTACTCTGGTGGTTTAAACTTTAAACCACCACTCTGCCCTAAACTTTAAACCCCCACTCTGCCCTACTCTTGGAAATTTGGAGAGCCGGTAGCATTGTTTTATCCAGCCCGCTTGTAGCACAGTTCTGGGAAAAATGAGAAAATTTTTCAAAAAAATTTGAAAAAGGAGGAATTTAAAATTTTCAATTTTGCCAGTTTGATACGCAGATGTATTTTGCACTTTTAATTATCTGTAGGCCACTTGGCTTGCCGGGCTGTGCAGCCCGGGAAAGTCGCCGGGGGGCCACCTGCACAGGGCACCCCCTGTAGGCAAAATACAGCCCTTTGATTTATTTATTCATTGGGGTGAGGGTTTTCCGCGCATGCCCAGAGGAGCCCGAATCTCGGCTCCGTTCTTTTTTTGAGCGCATCCTCATGGAGGAGGAGAAGGACGTACAAAAGGAGGCCGAAGGTCTGTTTCTCCCTTGGGAAAACCAACCGAAGGTGGATATAAAACAGTAGTAAGAAAACAAAAGAGTTTTTATAAAGAAAACAAAAGAATTAAGTTATGTCACGATCTATTTTGGCTGGCAAGGGCAGGGAAGGGCAGGGGCTGAAGGGCCTAAAACCTAAACCCTAAACCCCTAAACCCGTCTAATGGGGGGTGCCTTAGTCTGATGTGACCCTCAGCAAAAAGTAGGTTGCGTTGCAATCCTACACAACATATGTTTTCTCTGGAATTTTTTTAGTTTTCTTTTTTTTTTCCTGCCCGAGAACCGTGCCTACCGGCTTCACCCGAACAGAACGCCTGGTCATTATCGTTGCGTCTGGACCGAAAGTTGCACCAAATACAAGCTATAATGACCGGGCGTTCTATTCGGGTGAAGACGGTAGGCAAGGTTCATTCCCGGCATGGCACCGGGTGTGTATCCAGGCACAAGCTAGGTGCCTGGACCAACAGCTT